AAATTGAAGGGGGTCGGGTTGAAACCTTGGTTGATTTGATATGGAATTCACCATGTATATATTTGTTGTATATATCAAATCAACTGAAGATTCGACCTGACCCCCTTCGATTTTTTTAAAAAATTTTATGATGGTAGTATATACACTAACAAGTAAAAATATAAAATTTTAATTCTCAATTCAACTTACATCATGAGATATGGCCATCTTTAGAAAAGCGGAAATTCCAAAATACACTATATTTTATTTTAAATATCTCAAAAAGTAATTAAGCTAAAGACCTAATTTAAATTTTATCAAATAGCTCTAAAATAACCATTTAATATGATATAAAATTTATTATATTAAAAATAGATCTATTACCAAAAACCGTAAATGGCTATAAAATAAAAATTGCTCTTTTTTTTCTTTCTAATATATTTTACAGATAGACATTATACTTCTTAATATTTGTACAAACTTCTAGATTGGGACGAGTACTGGGCCAATAGACACTTTAAATTTAAGTAGCATGGCTTAAATCCTATATTATACCAAATGTATAGTAATTTACGAAACAAATAAAAGGAAATTCGTTTGGGATAGGGCCGGATATATATTTTTTTAAATCTTTCGGGCCGTGTTAGAAAAAATAGGCCCTATGCAGATTAGTAGACATCGTGTCATATTTAACATATAAGTTTGGCTATTTTATTTTAGAAAGAAAATAATTGTAAAAATATTTTATAACTTTATTTAGCTAATTATTTATATTACATGATCAATGGGAAATTAATATTGTAATAAACATATTAATTAAATAATATCATACATTAAATAATCTAATGAATTAAAATAAAATTTGACTTTCATTTTTCCTTCTCTGGAATAAATGAAAGATATTTTTGTGTCCCGGGAATTAGTTTGGCCGTTAAAAATCTATTTTCAAGATTGGTTTCCATTCTTAAATTCTGCTGACAAATATATAATTAATCCCTGGGATATTAATTCCCGCATAATTATTATATATCCATAGGAGTTAGCATATGATTTTCATAAAGACGTTACAGGCTTGCTCTAGCCACCGACCTCTTAGTAATTTCCTTTAACAATCGCAAGGTGTTTTTCCATGTGCAGTTGCAAAAAAATGTCACTCTGCCTTGATCCCAAAATCATTATAATGGTTATAGAGGTTTACAAGTTTTTTTTTGTTTTTATACTTGGTAACAGCTCCATCAGAAAAATAAAAAATTATTGAAATCTTATCAAATCTTTCTTTCAAAAATAGAATTAATTTTATTTGAAATAAATAAGGAATAAAGTATTGTGTTTTAGACAATCTGATATAGCTCCGTAACTTACATGTTTGATGATATCGCTTTGGCGGTTATAAATCATAAATAAATGAAGTGTTGCCTTAGAAGGTAAGTTAGAAATAGAAGGTAATGTGATAGGGATGGTAGAAGTAAAAGGTAAGATGGTTTGTTGAATATTTTTATAATTTTTTATTAATTGATAAGCCAGAATTCACTTGTATCATCCACTGTAAAACACCTCTAAGATCGTAACGTACTGAATGAGATTTTATTCGAAAGGGGTTACAGCACTTTACTGGAATAGAAATAAGTAGACATTTAAATTCTTTTGGTAAGAAATAAAAGATGCTTATTAATTTTATATAATTTTTTTTTTAAATTAATAAATAAATTGGATAATGAATATGTTAATTTAATTTCTTAGAAAAATGGCTACTGCTGGAATTAATTTTGAATATTACTTTATGCCAATATAATTACTTTGTTTGATAATTAATTATAAATAGATTAAAATAAACTTTAAAATTAAAATATATTTGTAACGATCACAAAGATAATTAATTATCGGGCAAAGAAAAATAAACTACATCATTCATTCACAGAGTTGTCAGGTCAAAAATCTCCAATTTAAGAATTGGGGGGGGGGGGAGACGAATATAAATCTTTAGGTGGGGTGAAGAGATTATTGAGTTCACTTTTTATAATCATAGTTGTTACTTGATTACTTTTTACAAAATTTTATTATTTATTATAATGTTTCCAAATTAAGGCGTTTTGTCATATATTTAATAATACAATACAATTTGGTAAATGTTATTTTTGGTTATTTTTTAGGATTTTAGTTTTAATGCTCTTCACATATATTGCCCGCCCATTTTTTAAAAAAAAAATAATTGCTCTATATTTGGTATAATAAGGATTTAGGCCATACTACTTATATTTAAAGTGTAATAACTATTGGCCCAGTACTCGTTCCAATCTAGGATTTTGTACAAACATAAGAAATATAATGTCTATCTGTAAAATATATTTGAAAGAAAAAAAAGAGCAATTTTTATTTTATAGCCATTTACGGTTTTTGGTAATAGATCTATTTTTAATATAATAAATTTTATATCATATTAAAGGGTTATTTTAGAGCTATTTAATAAAATTTAAATTAGGTCTTTAGCTTAAATACTTTTAGAGATATTAACAATTAAATATAGTGTATTTTGGAATTTCTGCGTTTCTAAAGATAGCCATCATGAAGTAAGCTGAGTTGAGAATAAAAATTTTATATTTACTAGTTAGTGTATGTATATACTACCATCATACAAATTTTTAAAAAAATCGAAGAGGGTCAGGTTGAATCTTCAGTTGATTTGATATATACAACATATACAGAGCCTAAAAAAATTTATGGCCCCCAGAAAAAATCTTTGGCCTGCAAAAATGACCCCTATAAATTTTTCCGACCCCCCCCCCCCCCCCCCCCCCCATTTAAAAAATTTTTTTGTATATTATATTTATTATTTTTATATTTTTAGAACATGTCTAGTTTGTAAATTTCTTTCTATCCTGTTTTATTTTTATCCAATAATAAATCATCATTCATTCATATTTTATCATTGTGTTTGTATATGACAATATATAGGCGCTTAATCACGTTTAAATTGTACTATTTCAATGATAATTATTTTATTTATTAATTCAATCACAATATTATTATAATAATATAACCAGTTATTTAAAATAGCAGTGATAATTTTAGAATTATTAAGAAAATATTGATATAAAAACAATTTTGTTAAGCCAACAAATTAACCGTAATAAGGTTACGTTTATTCACGATCCAAAAGTAGGCTTTTACCTTCGACAAAGAATATCAATTGAAATTTCTCGATCCAACTGTATATCCATACATGGGTCATTAAGCCTAGTCGACCATACCTAAATATATTATTTTAAATTATTTTATTAATTTCTCTTCTTATTATATATTTTTAGATGTAGTATGTCATTTATAATTTTAATATTCTATAGTATTTTAATCATTGTTTTGTTTTATTTTTATAACTGTGCATTGCAGTTTTTTAAAATAAAAGCGATAATATAATCTTAAATCAATATTTGATTTGATACTATTTCTTAGCATACAGGAGCTACCTTTTCGCGGGATTGGTTCAACAAAAATTACGGATGCTGCAAAAGATGAAAACATAATTTATTCTTCTGGACTTTTTGTAGCAATGTTTCATACACCATCCATCCTGGATTAAATAAAATTATGTAATACCCAAAAATGCCCAATATACATCATCTCAGATTCCAAGGGAAATAATATCTATTATGGAAGATATGGTGCTTGAAATATCTCAGATAAATATAACAAAAGTTAGTGCCTTCTTTTGTCTTAAGGCTGATGAGGCAAAAGATGCATCAGATTGTGAAAACCTGAGCTTAATTATTCGCTATATTTTTTCTGGAGAAATTCAAGAAAATTTAATAGGAATTTTTAATTTACAGTGTCTTTCTACTGAAAGCATTACTGATTGCATTTTAAAGCAAATTAATGAATTAAATATCAACGAATATAATAAGACAGGTATATGATTGTGCAAACGTCATGTCTTATCAAAATGAAGGCGTGCAAATTCTTTAAAAAACATTTAATAAAAGGGTTCCTTTTATAAGCTACAACCACAAGTTGCATCTTGTGGTTCAAAATTGGTATAATATTGTTATCATTTCCAATCTTTTAGACATTTTAAAGTATCCAGTAGACTTTTAGACCAGAGGTGGACTTCATTTAAAAACATCTCGCATCATTTATGAGAATTTTGAGGCTATTGGTGAAATATTATTTTACTTTTCTAACAGAAATCTAAATTCAGAGGTTTCCACTCGATTCAATCGAAGCCTCTGGTTTTTTATTCAATGCGTTAATATAAATTTCGTTATATTAGCCATTATAATTTATGAGATATAATAACAATACAATAGATCCACTAAATAAGTATCTACAGTCAGTAGGTACTAATCTAATGGATGCTAAAAATTGTATTGATTCCACGATCAATATAAAAATATAAGAATGGATAATTATTTTGATTTGATTAGAATTAAGAGTTAAAATCTTTTAGCAAAATTTAATCTCACTATCATCAAGGGTAGGTATAACGCCTATAAATTTTCAAGATTTTTTAATCGAGACCAAATTACGATTTGATTGTGAAAAAGACTCCAATTGAAGTTCTTTAAAGGGAATTATTATGAAATTATACTTTGTTTGTGTTGATAGTTTTTTAGATAGATTTACATAAGATGACTATAATCTTCTATCGTGTTTTATACGTTGTATTCCTTTGACCCTGATTATTTTATATCGGATAAAATGACCCGATTAGAATCATTATTAAACTTAAATATGAAAACGTTACATCATGAAATGAAAATCGCTAAAGGGTTATTAAGATTTTATTAGTGTTATTAGATATGAGTGACATCATAAAATTGAACATAATAAACTGCTAAACATATGCATTAAGATTTTGATCAAAAAAAAAGTTTAAATATAAGGAAAATAAAAGTAATTCTAACTAGTTCTGATGTTTAGCAAAAAATTACTATTATATATAGGTAAAAAGAGGTTTGAAATAACACACAAAAACAAAAGTTAATTTCTTTATTTAAAAAAATATAAATTATTTTGTATGGGTAAAAATTTTTTTAAAAATTCTAATATTTCGCAAATACAAATATTATAATGAATATATTAACAATAATATAATATAGTACAATAAACAAAATATACAGTGTACAAGGTAATAAAACGTTTTTTTATTAATCGATTTTGTCTCGTATGACAAATTTTTTTAGAAGTTGGTCATTAAATTTTTTTTTAAGCAACTTTTAAAACATTAAAAATACAAACTTGAATGACAATCTGATTGGGTTCGAGTTAAAACAAATGAGCAACAAGATAATAATGATGAAAAAAATTTAACATCGGGTTTTGGGTAAAAAATATTTTATATAAATTATAACAAATATGATAATATAATATATTACTAGGAATTAAATAATACGATTTAAACGGTCACAACGAACAAAAAAATTATGTGTCATGTTAATTATTTAAATTCAAGAATTTAAAATTAATAAAACTCGGTCATTTATAAAAATCGATATAATAATATAAAATAAGAATCCAATTTTTAATTAAACAAATTGCTTTAAAAAAAACATTGCATAATTATAAAAAATAAGACCTTGAAACGTCAAACCCAAATAAAGAATGTAATTATATTAATAAAAATTGCTATTTCACCACCGTTTTTTGTGTTCATCCAAACTCACCCCGCCTGGACCAAGGCTTACTACCAGTAAAAGGCCTCCTACGACTGACATGGTTTGGAAAAAATCGTATTTCATAAAATCGCGGACATAGGAATTGGCGGCTTTACTCCACCAATCGTTGACGTAGAGGTTGAGAGCAGAGAGCCAAGCCACCAATACCAAGGCGCTTAACTTTGTCTTGAATCTAAAAGAACGAGCAGAATGTAATTTAAAAAAAATTATCGAATAAAAATATATATTAAGCATGTAAGTATATATCAAATATGAGAAAGTGCTTTTTGGCCATTTAAAATTAAACCTCGATCGTTATTTTAATAAAAACCTTTTTTAGAGTAGATTGTGGACTAGTGGCTATATGATTGGGAAGGGAAGGGGGGGGAGTAACAGTTTGCTTCCAATTTATTAAGGGGGTGGGCATTCAAGGAGGGTAACTAGGGGTAGGTTAATTTATTGGGAGGTATCTATAAAAAAATTTTGATGAAATAGGGTAAAATATATTGCTGTAAAAATTATACTTTTATCATAGACCTATTATAATACAATAATATCGCTATACATCGACAAATCTATATATTGCATATAGAGTTGTAAAGGTATGGAAATTTCCTGGGAAATAACGTAAATATAATATTTTATTAAAAAATTAAGATTTATAATTTGATTTATTATATCACATTTTTAAATAATTTTTATTTTCCTCGTGAGTCTTTAAACTTATTTTTTATTAGTTCAACTCTTCAAACCTATAATTTTAAAAGTATAAAACAAAGGTAACATTATATTCTCATATATATAATATGATATATTATAGAATTATTAATAATTAATGATATATTTAGATTTGATATATAAGGATATTTTAATCATACTATATAACTGATATAATAATTATTGATGTTTAATTTAAATTAATATGATTGTAATATTTTATGCCTCGGAAAACTTCCAACATTTTATTAAAGATACAGCTAATAACAAGAAAGGGTATATATAAATATGCAAATATTGTCAATTGACATATAATTTCCCAAATTCAACAAAGATGTCTAAGCAGCACATGACTTGAATCTGCTTATTAAAGATTTATGCCACAAGATATAAAAACCAAACAAATAATTAAATATATAAAATTTAATGGTATTTTATTGCAACTTTTAAAGAAAGGCAAATATTGAAAGGATATACAGTGAAACGAGTGTTAAAAATCAACTAACAATAAAAGGGGGTAAACATAATAAGATTTTATTTTTCAATATATATTGAAATTAATTATGGACAAGCAATTAATTAACAAGATTAATCGTTTTTAAATAATAAAAAGAAATTATGTGATAAAAAATGTAAATTTTTTTTTGATCTTAAAAGTCTTTTTGATTATTTTAGAATTTCTTAAATCTATTTTGGAATTTTGTATCCATTTATTTCGATAAAAATATGATACTATATATTTATAATAACTTCGATAAAATAATTAATACATAAAAATAATTATAATTTATCAAAATATTCCATTGTTCCACGAATTTGATGATGGTACCTTTTTATAAATTAAAAAGGTTAATATGAATACAAATCAATTAAAAGGATTACCTAATTAATCAGTTGCCCACGATAACTCAACTCCAAATAGCTTTGCATGTGATTGTAAAAGTTAGTAAAATCATAAGGAATAATTCCGTGAATCTCTTGAATTAGGGCGGGGATTGATTGCTCCATATTTATTTTTCAATACTCTAAAAAAATTTCGATGGGATTTAGTTGAGGTGAATATGGTGGTAGGTATTCAATCCTATCTTTATAAGCATCGATAAGATGGCAACTATGGATAGATGCATTATCTATTACAATAATAGTATCTGGTGGTAAGACAACTGATAAACTCTGTCATAAAATAGGGAATAATAACCCATTATAAGCTCCTTCGATTATTTTATAATGGATTACCTCCAATTCCAATTGTACAAAGAATGCTTACATTTTTACCCTTAAAGGATGGGATTTTTATTATTGGACGGACATTGTATGGCGCCCAGGTGTAAATTGGTACAACATGCAAGTTTATTCCAGTTTCATTTAAGAAATATAATTTTTCTCTTGGGATATTTAAGATCTTTACACAGTAGATTTGACGAATATTAATGCCCCAGGAGTATTTCTTCTAACAGGCTCCTTGCCAGCTCTTTTTTTTCGACCAACCTATATTTTTGATATATTTGCTAATTGTTGTTTTCGTATTTGGACTACCAGGGGGTAACTTTTCTATTATCTTCTGGAAAGTAAGAGTATTATTTTGCAACAATAAACTAATGATGTATCTTTCAATTACGGAAGAATCTTTTTTTACATCCTCTTTTTTGAATACTGTATTCTTTTAAAGGATCTCCGTTTATATCTGGGAATGTGTCCCGTCTAAATTTATGGACCAATGCTGTAGACATTTTTGTATTTTGCGATGTTTTTAATTTTCATCTGTTGTTTTTCAAACATTGATAACATTTTAATAACTATATCTATTTTTTCTTTATTCCAATATTTGTATATTCTTTATGGTCTTTGAATTCTCGATGAAGATTGGGAGTTTTCATTTAAATTGGAGAAATTAATATTACTATTGGTAATAAAGATTCTATATTAAACATTGTTTTTATATTAATTTAAGAAAAATTTGAAAAAATTAATAAATATTTTACTATAACACATTTTTTTATTTTTTATTAAATTTCCAACACATTTTTTTTCAAAGATTCTTGTTAATTAATTGCTTGTCCATATTTAATTTCAATATGTATTAAATTAAAATAAAATCTTATTATGTTTACCCACTTTTATTGTTAATTGATTTTTAACACTCGTTTCACTGTAAATCTTCCTTAAAAATTCCAGTCCGACATGATGGGGAGGCTTTACTATAATGTTGCAAACAGGGATGCGAACCCGGCAAAATTTTAGCCCGGATTCGGTTTGAGATTTTAAAAAATAGATGGATTCGTTTCGGGTTTGGTTCAGGGAAATATTTTTGAACCCAGGTTTGGTTCCGGTGTAGCGTGTGAAAGTGATTGCCGTGAGATTTGGAATTCTCACACCATCAAAATCTCATGGCTATTCAATATTTCAAAATCTCATGGATTTTTTAAAAATCTCATGGATTTTTTTAAAATCTCACATTACGAATTCAATATGGATTAAATTTTCTCAAATTTAAAACGTGAGATTTTAATGTAGCTGCCAAATTGAAAATATTTCTATATAATACATTTTAATTAAAGAAAGGAATATTTCCTGTATAAAAAGTTTAACTAACAATATATATTATATTTTATAAATATTTTTAGTGATAATTTTTCCAAAATAAATGAATTTTTACAATTTTCAAAAATTCCACTTAATGTCAATAAATCTAACTTTATTAAAAAAGCACGGCCTACAAGATAAAAGATGAAAATCTTTACTACATGATAGGGGAAAGTAATTTTTAGATATATTTTTATTTCAAATTGTCATAATGTATATGGGCTTATAAATAAATTAATTATTTTTTTAAATTTAGGAGAATTATTAAATTTGATTAGAACATTTCATATATTTGTTAAAGTCTTAATTAATTTATTTTATAGGTAAATTAGGATGTAAGTGTATTTTTTATTTCAAATTATTTTAATATATTTTATGTTTATATATATATAAGAACATTTAATATATTTACCAGAGACCTGCAGGCCCGGCCCTAAACCCGGCCCGTATTTTAAATCTTTTAAACATATCCGGGCCTGGCCTAAAAAATTTTTTTAAACTATATCCGGGCCGGGCCTAAGATTGTTAAACCCGGGCCGGGCCTTAATATTTTTTATAAAAATTTTTACATTATGAGTTAATGGTTATAAGATTATATTATATTATAGTTATGATTAATATAATATTGGGTGATGGTTAATACTACCTAACAACCCACAGATCGATCTAATTATTAATTTCCAGCAAATTTATTCAAGTATTAATATATTTTTTTATAATTCAGAATATATTTTACCAAAACAAATCAAATAAAGGAATATCACTTCTTAAAGTTTGTAATGCCTTTCAAAGCGAAAAGGAGAAATAAAATTGATTTTACTTAATATAAAGCATCTTTTAATTGAAAAATTTGTTTTACACAAGTATCATTTTATTTCTCTTTTTCTCTGTCCCAAATTCAAGCAATTACGTATGTAGTCAGGGACAGATCGCAAAATGACGGAAAACTATATAAAAGATTATATTAAATTACAAGAGGCTCAGGAAGTAAATGAAATACCATCGACCAGTCAAATTACGACTGTTGTTAAACAAACTGAAACGTTTTATGACAAATGGGGCGATGGTAATTCTGGTAATATGTCACTACCCGATGATGAATATTATAATTACATAAATAATAGATAAAACATTTAAGGTGGATAATTTGTTAGTGGTGGGCGGCTCATCAAAACGAATTTCCAATTTTAGCAAAATTGGCAATTCCTGCTTTAAGTGCAAGCTGTGAGCGGAATTTTTCCACTACTGGGAGAATTCTTGACGAAAAAAGAAGTTATCTTCAACCTGAAAAGGTAAAGATGCTTCTCTTTCTTCATGATAATTTGTGAATTTTTAATATCTTTCTTGAGTATAGGGTTTCGTCAATCATGCTTACTTTGCAAACTGTCAAATATTTATTGCATTTATTATATTTACCTTGAGTCTTGAAAGTTTTTAATCCAACATTTTTCATTATTTTTTTGTACAATATTATATACAATTATCTTCTTTTGTTAAAAATTTATATTATAAAATAAATTATATTAATATTGTGCAATTAGATTATATTTTCAAAATACTATTTATTATACATGCATTTTTTTAAATAGCGATTTATTTTTATTTTATAAATTAAATAGTAAATTAAATAGTAAATTAAATACAATATATTATATTCTCAAAATATTTTTCATTTTTATAAATTAAATATTAGTTTTAATTTTTTTAAATGTAATATAAAATATAGTATATGACAAATATTATTACCATTTTTATGAATATTAGTTTTATTTTTATAAATGCAATATAAAATATAGTATATGCTCAAAATATCCATTTTTATAAATTCAATATAATATTCTCAAAATATTAGCTTTTTAAATGTATTTTTTAAATAATAAGCGATAATACTCG